GAGTATAATTGTAAATTTATCGTTGTGTATTTATTAAAAATGTATTTGAATTGTGGTGTAGTAATTAAAATTTACAGTGGTAATATAATTACTCTTTTAATTACTATTCTTCTTGTTGTTTATTTTTTGGTGATTTTAAATGTTCATATTTTCATGCAATTTTTTGAATTTGGATATAACAAATGTCGAAAATATGTGACGTTAATGCCCCTCTTTGGGCTCTGCTAAAGGTAGATTTTTGGGAATATATGTTTGGAATGGTGAAATTTTTGAAAAATGTATTGTTAAAAAATAAAGAAACGTTTTAGGTTTATGCGAGATATTATTTTATTGAAAAATATATGGTTCAAAATAAGAAAGAAGAAAATTATTTTTAAAAATGGGGCCCAAACAAGGGCAACATGTCGATACTAGAATCGGCGGTTTAATATTGTGGTTGAACTTTGAATTTGAAGATTAGAATTTTTAAGCAGCGAAGGAAAATTTGAATTGAACATTGTACATTATTTCTCATTTGATGGACAAAATTACGAACTTTCTTGGTCAAAATCTCGTATTACAATGCTCATGTTTGATGGAAATTAACATTCAGATTTTAATCCAAATCAAAGTCAACAATTAATTTTAACCATACATTTTATCAACTTTTATCAAAATTTACCGAAAACTTAATTTTAAATCCTACCAAACAGGGGTTATGGAAGTCTCGAGTTTGTTGTGCAAAAGTTGAGCATGCTAAACAAGCATTGAATTTTGCTGTGCAAAGCTCGAGTTTATTCTACTAACTAACTTCAAATGTACATAACTTTTGATTTAACAACTCACAATTGCACCATTTTGTTTTTCTTCGAACTCTAAAATCAATAATTTTTTCAATAGTCGTGCTATGTGTACACATAGGGGATGACATAATGTGAGTGGGATAGCACGAGCCCCACCCCCACTCCACTCACATTATGTCATCCCTTATGGATCAATCTATGTACATATAGATTAATCATTTTTTCAATCATATATTATTTATCTTGTGGATATCTGTGTAACAAAAGATTCCTCACATGCTCTGCACGTGGATTCCTCATTTCGTCTTTGTGGACCATTTTTTGCCCAAACTTAATTTTGTTGCGCCGATCATTTCATATTCACGGTGCACTTTTGCCCTTTATTTAGAACTTGTTTGTGTCCTATTTTTGATTAAAAAATGCATTTTGAAATAGTGATTTGATAGAGAATGTGTACTTAAAAAATAAATAATTTTTTTGGTTTGCGTGTAACACTACTTTATTGAAAACTGTGTAATTGAAAACAAGAGAAAAAATATATTTTTTAAAAATAATGGG